CAACTCAACAAACATACAGAAATAAATTTCAATACTTATTCATGAATTTAAATAAAACTAAGCAAATCAGATTTCCTTTGTCCTAGTGAGCAGTGGTGTGGCAGCAGGGACAGGCTGGATGCTGCCGACTGACCCGGTTTCCTTTTCCCAGGGACAGAGGAAGACATTTCCATCCTGTTGGGAGCGGCGCTGGACGCGGGCCTGGCCAGGGGACGGGGACAGGGACAGGGACAGGGCGCTGACATCCAGGCCAGGTCTCGCCCGACTCCCTCCATGGTCATCCCTCCCCCTCCCTCTTCCACTGTGACCTTGGGGACCATGTGTTCAAGGTGACAGCATCACAGATGGAAGGTGCCTGGGCCCCGGAGTCACCACCTGGAGGGGAAGCCAGGAGCAGCCCCTAGCAGGAGCAGGAGCAGGAGCCAGCAATACACATGTGTCACGTGCAGCCGTATTTTCACACTTGTGCCGTGTTTCTCTGTGCTGCTTTGTCCCATTGGTGTGTGCCCTTCGCTCTGCCAGCAGAGCACCTTCTTCATTCCTGTAACCTTACAAAAATGTCTGAAGTCTGACAGGACCAAGTCCAGGGCCAAGTCAGGGATAACGTCCTCCAAGATGAGGCGGGGTTTCATTCCGCACCCTGGGGCCTCGTGGAGTCCGTGAAGCCCCAGGAGGACGTTAGAAAGAGCAAAGGGGAAAGCAGACAAGAAGGGCCCCCCCCCAGCCAAGAGCGCTCCGGGACTGCTTCGGCTGTCCTGGCAGAAGCGCGGGCCACAGCGGGAGGAATGGGGAGTTTCAAACGAGACCCCTCTTCTCCGCCTCCCAAAAAAGAGAAAATGACAGAAGGCTTTTGGAACCAAGAGCTGGAGGAGGCGGGAAGCAGAAGTTGAGCCCTGACAGCCGCAGCAGTTCACAGCCGGAGACAGCCCTCCCCCTCCACCCCCGGAGAAGCTGCCAGGAGCCCAGGCAGAGAGCAGGCAGCACACGCTCAGCACCGGGGAGGCGACAGAGGGAGTGGGGTAAAGCTCTTACAGCTGAGCTATTTTAAAATTCCGCCATCGAGGCAGCATCCTGTTGCTACGGCAACCCCAGCTCCGCTGGGAGTCCTGCTCCCCGCCTGCTCCCCTCCCGCCTCAGCTCAGGGGCATCCTCAGGAGGCCAGAAGCCGCCCCCTCCACGGGGAACACGGAGGAACTGCTCTGTGTGAGGTGAGGACTCAAGACCCAGGGGAACACCTGACGGTTCAGTCCTGTCCCAGGCCAGTCGCTGGCTTACTTCCTATTCAGAGTGACTCACAAAGTCTTGTTTGTATTCACTGGGCTCCATCAAAACACAAAAGGCAACATTTTCACTCAGTCAGGGCTGAGCCATGAGGCAGCTGGTGGTGGGCTGTGTGGTCCAGACAAAGTCCCTGAGGAAGAGCCTGGTCCTGCCCTCAGCCCTGCACCTGCTCTCCAGCCCCGTCTGGGATGGCTCCTGCCACGTACAGGAAACCAACGAGTGAGAAAGGAGACAAAGGGCCGCCAGAGAGCGACTGCCAGGTGGGGGCAGAGCTGGAGGCGGACGCTGCCCCCGCCCCCATCACTGCAGCCTGGAGCTCTGGCACACACCCCCCCCACTCCTCCCTTCACCCTCACTCCACCTGGCGCACTTGGCCTCCTGGGCCCACGGAGGGCTCACCTGGGCTGAAGCCATGCTTGGAGGAAGGGCAGTGGGGTCCCTAGGGCGCGTCCCAGGAGAACACGGCTGAGCAGGAGGCCCGGCCATCAGCCCAGCCCCTCCACTTCCCAACTGACCCCCGACCCATGGTCACCACAAGGCGAACTCCATGGGGGCAGGTGTGGCCGCTGACGGCTGGGGGCTGCAGGGCGTGGCGGGGAACTGGGCGCCGGTGGGTCTGCAGCTGGTGTCTCTGAGATGAGAAGGAAGGTGGGCCCTGGCGCCCTCACCTGTAAGATAGGGCAGGTGAGAACTGTGTCCCTCCTGAGGGGCTCTGAGGCATGGACCAATGCCGTCCCTCCTAAAGTGCCCTGGAAACTCAGGCTCCCCAACCCAGCGGCCCAGGTGCCTGTCGGACGCGTCCTGGGGGCACTTGGACAGAGACCAGCTCAGCGCTCGGGTCCTGGGGGCCTGACGTCTGTTCCACTCACCTTCCTCACAAACACGCCCTGATTTTGCCAGAGCAACAAGGTGCCCCCAGCCCGCCTCCGTGACCCAACCACGGCCATCCGGACAGGTCAGGACTTCCCCAGCGAGGTGGACCTCCCAGGAAAGTTCTCTAAGGGGTGTCCAGCGCCGCCGGCCTCGCCCTCGCCCTCTCCCTGTGGACGTGCGCGGGGCCGAGCTGCAGGACAAGCCCACACGCCAGGACAGGGGAGCAGCGTCCTCGTGACGCCCGAGATGCCAGCTCTGAACATCCTGATGCTTAGAAAGTGCTCACCACACTCAGCCTTCTGTAACAGGCGGCTGAACCAAATCCTAAATGACACGCCATACCTAAAATGGCCTGTTTGTGAGATCCATGTGGCCAACGCCAGTCCACACGAGGAGCCGGGGGGCAGCAGGCTGCCCAGGCCACCTGGCTGTGAGAGGGGAGCTGGGCCCAGCCCAAGGACAGGAAAGGAGAGGAGCCACGTCTGCCCGTGGGACCGTGTGGGAGGACGTGCAGGGTCCACAGTCCTGCCAAGTGCCAGGCATGTGGGTGTGGGGACACGAGGGACCCAATGCAGACCAAGCCCACAGAGCTTGTTTTTAGTGGAAGACGTAGAAAGAGAAGGAAATACAGGTCATGGGATGTGAGGGCCGTGGAGAGAACGGCGGACACGTGGACAGAGTGCTGCTTTTCACAGGAGGTCGAGGGAGCCTCTGAGGCGAGGATCCCAGGTCCTTGAGGAGGACGGTGCGCCAGGGGAACCGCCAGGGCGAGGCCGGAGTGAGCAGTGGGGCGGGGTGGGATGCAGGGCACCTGTGCTTCGGTGAGGAAGTCCCAGGAGGGCCCTGATCAGACAGCAGATTCGATCAGACTCCGAGCGGCACAGGCTCGACAGCGCTGCCCCCGCCCGGGTTATTCTGCGGGCAAGGCTGTCTGAAGGGCGGGTTGCAGGGCCCGGGTCTCGGGTGCTGGGGGCAGAGGGCTGGCTGCGTGGATGTGGTCGAGCTCTGGTGCTCAGGGAGTCAGCACACCTCTCCCTCCTTCAGGAAACACGTTCACTCCGTCTCGGTCTCCTCGGCTCCCTCCCCCCCAAAACCTGCTGCTGTTGGGGGTGTAGCCCAGCGAAGAGTGTTTCAAGGAGAAAGGGAGTGACCAGCGTGTGTCAGCTGGAGCAGGACGGGGACAAGAACTGACCGGGATGGTGGGTGACAGACCAACCTAGAAGCATGGGACTGGGTGGCTGCTGGAGGGGGTGAGAAACATACTTCCTGGAGTCACGGAAGGAACAGCTCCCCCAACACACACGTCAGGAAGCCGGACGTCGACGGCGGGGCTGGGCCTGACTCGTTCTTCCAACACGGCTTCGCAGCCCCGACTGGGGTGGGCTGGGGCCGGCGGCAGAGGTGGGAGAGATGTCAGCAGCTTACAGGGGTGAGATGCCACTGCTCTCTCAGCCTCAAGGTCACCCACACTGCTTGCCCACAATCCTTCTCCCGCGGAACTTTCACATTCCAGATAGAACTTCACAAGAAACAGAAAATGAATATTTATTATGATCATTTTGACTTGAAAAAATAAGGCTGAAATCTCTGGGCAATAAGCTGAAACACCATAAAAAGCCGTATCCGAGTGTTAGCTACACATGGAGCCAGCAGCAGGCAGAGGCCACGCGGCGCCCCGTTTTCCCGAATCCTCCAAGTGAGGGGACTGAGGCTCAGAGGTAGAGGGGCAGGAACTGGGCCCAGAAAGCCCTGGTGCTTCTCTCCAAAGCGCTACCAGGGTTCCATCCTGGGGCCCCTGCCCAATGGGAGAGAGAGCCAGTGTCCTCTTCCAGGCGGCAGTGTGACCGCGTCCACAGGCGGCAGGCCTGCCTCGATCCCCGTGACCCGGGCCAGCAGCAGCCAGTGTGGCCTGCCCCGGCCCAGCACACAGCTCACTCCAGGGCCCAGCCCTCCTTCTGGAACACCAGCCGCACGGCCTCGTGCACGTCCCTCACAACATGCGAGGCCTCCATGAGCCCTGGGCTGAGGCTGAAGTCCCGGTGCCCGTGGAACGGAGGCTCCTCCCCGCCCTGGGCAGGCCCCGGGGACCCCGGACCCGGGGGTCGGTACACACCGGTGCACACCAGGATGGAGACGCAGCTCTGGGCTGCCAAGGGCCGTGGCTTGCCCTCCTCCGCCCCCTCCCTCCCCCTCTGCAGGTACCGGTGGAACAGGTTGGCCCCATAGACGTCAGACATGGGGTTGTCGCTGGGGAAAGAGGAGAAAACCCAGCTCAGCGGGCGGGAGAGAGCAGAGACCAACGCGGGAGAGGCGCACGGGTGCAGGGCCGGGGCTTACCCCACGGCGTAGAGGTTCCGGATGGGGGCCGCCCAGCCCCGCCGCGCCGCCTGCCGCCGGAGCAGGTCCTCCGCGTACCGGTAGGTGAGGATGCTGGGCTTGCCCGTCAGGCCCTCGTACCTCAGCTCTCTGCCCGTCACCTTCCGGTAAATGGCTTCCAGACACAGCAGGAAGGTGCCATGGCCAAACCTGCAGAGGAAGAGCCAGCCGCTCGGTGCCCGCAGGCCCAGCAGTCTGAGCAGCGCCCTGAGAGCCAGCCCCATTCCAGGCCTCGTGGCAACAGAGTGGTAAGAAATAACCTGCATTTGTCACCCGCATTTATCACCTGCTACACCTGGTAACACCCGGAGACGGCAGGCCACACTTAAAACTCTCAGAAAAATCCTACAGGACAGGTTTCACTGCCCTCAGTTCACAGGTGAGGAAACTGAGGCACGGGGAGGTTGAGTGACCTGCCCACAGGGTAGAGCTGGAATGACCACCCAGAGACCTAAGCTTAGACTCCACCCTCGATCTGGGCAGACTACTGGCTGACCCCTGGCCTTCCCAGGGACAGTCTTCTGGGAGCACCCTGCCTCCCCTGCAGCTCCGTGAGCGGCTACGTGACTGAACCACAGCCCAGGAGTCAACGAAATCAGAAGTGCTGGATTCACCTTCTAGAAGTGTCCTTGAAACTGGGGACAAGTGCTCTTCTCCACCCTCCCCTGCCCCCTCCTACAGACTGGAATGCTGATACGATGGCTGGAATTCAGGCAACCCTTTTGGACTATGGGGTGAAGGCTAAAGACTGTGCAGCTGGAAGACAGAAGGTGCCTGTGACCCTGGCAGGTGACAGAAGGTGCCTGTGACCTCGTGAGAAAGCCAGCAACTTCCGTCTCACTCAAGATTCTTTTGTTTTGGGTTTTCACCCCGTGCTGCTAAGCTAAACCCCAGCTGATACTGTTCAGTATCTTGAAGTTGCATTTCAGTGTCACTTATTTATATACAGAATTCTATTTTCCATTTTTAAATTGTCAAATGAAAAAGCAGTATCAAATCTGGTTTACAAATAGTAACTTGCCTCTTGCTACCACTCTGCAGCCTACAGAACCAAGCTCCCTTCACATAGTGTCTGCATGCCCGAACTCTAGGAAGAATATTCTGGGAAGAACACCTGACCTCGAGCTGCAGAAATGCACTTTAAAGGTAATGAAAGAACAGTGTGACCCCCATCTCCTTGGGCTGCTGACCTGGGGCAGTGCTGGGCCCTGCCTCCCACAATGACCATCCATCACACAGCAAACTGGGAGGCGAGGCACGGGAAAAAACCCCAGACTTTGGCCTTGCAGACAAGAGTAGCCAATCATTTGTCCCTCCAGGACGGCACCCCGAGGGCCAGCAGAGGCGCCTGCGCTGCCTCAGCCTAGGGGAGGGGGGTCACCGGTTCAGGGGCCTCGTCCTCTGGTCCTGCTCACCCCTCCCCCACGTCTTCCCGGAAGGAGACAAAGAAGTGAAAGGACCAGGGCCTCGGGGGAAGGCACAGAGGGAAGGGGGTTCGTGCACTGACGCAGCTCAGGGCTGACCCTCGCTGGGCTTCCACCAGCCAAAAACAGCAAGTCCTGGGAGGACTCTGGAGGGCAGTCAGGGGCCATCGCAGTGCGTCTTTTGGGCGCAGTAAACGGCAGTTTTGAGTAATCAGTAGTGAAGTGACCCTGGAGACCCCTCTGAGGCTGGGTTACCAGGGCAACTCCAGGGCCTGCGGGAGGGGCTGAGCCCGGAGCCCAGGATGGCGCCAGGAGCCACAGCAGGGCAGCCCAGGTGGCAGCTGGAGGTGGCCCGAGGGCCACGGCTGGGGACCTGAGTCCTCACCTGGGCATCTTGGCTTCAGCCATCCAGAGGAGGTCCACGTTGCTGGCCAGGACAGGGAGGTGGGGATACGGGGCCGAGGCCAGACCGGTGCCAGGGTTCCCGTCACTGAGAAGCACATCCATGATCAGCTGCAGGCTCGTCTCCCAGCGCACCGGCTCCCCAAGGAGGAGCACCCCTGCAGAGCACGTGGGCACGTCAGGGCCTAGGGCCACGGGGCACTCAGCCAGCCACCTCTGTGCCCCAGCCGCAAGCCCTGCCCCTGGGGGCACTGACCCATCAGGGCACTGAGGCTAGGGTGCGGTTCCAGACCAGCCCTGGGGGACCCACCCTCCCGCCCACTGGTAGACAAAGCCAGGGCCCAGGAGGAGCTCTGTGTCCCCTGGGACGTCCCAGGAGGAGCAGCAGCAGCAGCGAGTCTCAGGCCCGCTGGCCCTGCTCACGGATGCTCCCCCACCTTCCCTGCTGGACACAGGGGCCACTCAGTGGAAGCCAGGGACACAGACCTGGGCTCCCAGCCTGGCTGTCCACGTCCCTCTGTGACTGGGGGCTGCTCCTACAGTCTCTAAGCCTCGGCTTCCTCAACTACGTCATGACGGCACCTCACTGCGAGGAGTGAGAAAACCAGACGCAGCAAACCACATCAGCCAGGCCGGACGACACCCTCACCCGGGAGCTGCCGGGAGCTGCCGGGAGCTGCCGGGACCAGGGAACGGGCCCCACGAGGCCCGGGTGGGCAGTGCCCCCCAGGGAGGTGATCGGAAACTGCAGCAGGGGCTTGGTCGTCACAGCGAGGACACAGTGATGAGGACCTGGGGGGCCCCGAGGCGGTCCTGCACAATCAAAGCCTCCCTGAGTCAACTGACAGCTGACCCTCACACAGGTGAACAAGCCGCTTACAACTGAGCCTAAACCCCAGCTCACGCCACACGAAAACATGACGTATTTTTTAGTAGCGTTCTAATAAACACTGACTCTTCCAAAAATGCAGCTATCACGTAAGTCAAGAGAAAGCTGTACTTTTCCAAAACTTTACCAAGAGTTCTTCCCCATTTTGGAAAACCGTATCACCAGGGACAACAGTGCCCCTAATTTCTGAGTCACCAGCGAACACGCCTGCACACCCTGTGAACACACTTGCGTGGCTCTGCATTTGCAGCTGTAACGGTCGTGAGGATCCCACTTTTGGTATCATTACTTTACTGCTTAAGTATGTCCTGCTGGATACTTATTACACACTGAAACACAGATCGCCTCGCTAAAAGAGCACTCCCTTTGTTTCTCCTTACTATAATTAGGACTTTAATCTGAACTAATTAATTTTCAGTATTTGTGTATAGGAAAGTTACATTACCTATGAATTTCATTTCACGGTAGTAGAGGGGACATTACAGCATTTGTTACACAAGGGAGATCGGGCTGAGCAACACTAGACCGGGTTACACTGGACCAGGTTACACTGGACCATGTTACACTGGACTAGGTCCTTAGGTATGATTCTCTCAAAGATTTTTATGCTTACGATTTCTCTGGAATAATGAGGCAAGTGACAGGGGAAGGAAAGATTAGCAGCTAATGTCTCCGAGGTCTGAGTGGCAGTTCTGAGGCCAGAACCCCGGTGACCCAACGTCCAGTGCCCCGGCCACACTGCCAGCCTACAGCACCCGCAGGGAGAGCCAGCCCCCGCCACCCAAGGACCTCGTTACCTTCAATGGCAGGGAAGTCGTTCCTTGGAAGGGGCTGCAAGACAAAGAGCAGGCCCATCAAGCCGTGGCCACCTTCCGCTCCCGGACAGCCACACACCGGGTCCCGGGGGTGGGAGGATGCCGTGGCCACCTTCCGCTCCCAGACAGCCACACACCAGGTCCCGGGGGTGGGAGAGAGACGCGTGCCCGACAGATGGAAGACCCCCTCAGGCCAGCCCTGGCCGAGGAGAAGTGACAGGACTGAGGGAGGAGGTCCATGGGGACACAAGGGGAGACAGCGCCCAGGCTGGTCACACCCCAGGCCAAGGGCACCACATGTGAAGGCTGGCCAGGAGGCGGCTGGCCAGCTGCCCTCCTCCAGCAAGGGTGCGAGGTGAGGGCCTGGAATCGGGCGGCCAAGGACAAGGAGAGCCCACGGAGAAGGAGCCTGACGTCGCTCAGCAGGCGGGCCTTCACTGGACCACTGTCTTGGGTCTGTTCCTTCCAGGAACGGCTACCATGGTCTGAGCCCTGCTGCTAACCAGCCCTGAGACCCCGGCAGAGCCGCGTCCCCGCGGGGCGGTCTCTGAGCTGCCCTGACATCTGGTTCTCCACACGATGTGCGTGGCTCTGGGAGAAGAGTCTGGGGGTTGACGGAGTGCTCTGTTCAGTGGGAAAGCTCGGGAGGAGCGGGGCTGAAGCTGCACAGTGAACCAAAGCGAAGCCTGTGCCTCTGCTTGTAACCATGCTTCCTCACACGGCCAGAGCTCTGGCTGAAAGCAGGCAGGTGACAGGCACAGAGTTCACGGAGGAAGCAGAGGGCGAAGGGCCGTCAGGAGACGGGCAGTCACACCTTGAGGGTCAATGAGAGTCCTCGGACCACTGGTCAGAAGGGTAAGGTTCAAGTATGAGTCAAACCCAAAAGGAACCGGGGCAGATACTCAGGATGGCCAGTCCTTTCACACAAAGCTGTTTCCCACAAGGACAACGCTCTGCAGCAGGACTGCGGTGCCTCCCCGGTGACTCTGAAAGCAGGTAACGTACAAAACCACAAGCCAGAGGGGGTGCTACGGCTCGGAAAGGGCACTCGGCCAGGTGCGAACAACGCAGAAAGGAAAGTCCGGGAGCTGCTCCCTGGCCACCCTGTGTGTCTGGGGACAGGGTCCTGGCCAGGTGTGCCCTCCCGGGAGGCCGCTCTGAGCGGGAGGGGCCTGGAGTGGGAGTGAGCTCCGCCTACCGTAGTCTTCGGCCGCCGCGCGAGGTCCACCACGTCCAGCACAGGGAAAGCGGCCCGC